CGAGCTTTGTTATTAAACTTTATCTTTGATATCAAATGTTATCAAGAACTACAGTTATGCCAACATTTGATAATGTTGGTTAAGCTGACTTTTTAATCAGTTTTTCCCTTTATTCATTTCTTTACTTTCATGACATACATATAGTATATAGAATAGAAAAAGAGTTTTTACAATTTTACAGCCATAGTAAACTTTCTGTTATTTTTAAATTTTTTTGTCATATTCAACGTGAGCACGTTTAATTTTCTGGTTTTTGATTTTCTTCTTCTGGTTTGATTAGAAACGCTTAATCAATCTTGATTCAACACCGCCATTACCATTCGATGAATTAACCTCAAATATACGATACATTCTTGGTGTAATTAAATCAAAACCATCTGAAATTTCACAGTTTAAAGAAGAGGATTATGTGAAACTATGAAAAGCAGTACGTCATGCATTGGATTCGCCGTTGTTGGATCTTTTAAAAGAAAATAATATATTCGAATTTAATTATATAAATTAGTCGAACTTTTTATTACAAATATTGATGATTTAGCTTGTTTATTATGTGAATAACGAACCGATGATATACCAGCAATTATTCTAAATCATTTAAAAGCTAAATTAGAATGTCGTGAAAATTATTAGTAATTGGTTTTACAAATGAAAAAATCGTATTAGACAAGACTACAACAAATTATTTAAGACTAAATTCATTTAAATCTATGACATATAAACAACTAAGTGAATATTGTCGTCAAATAATGCATGATAATCATGAAGAAACGTTAAAAGAATGATGAATTAAAGGCAATGATTTACGTACATAAATTCAAAAAATAATGTAATGTTAGAAACTTTCGATCAATTTCTAAAATATAATATTTCTACAGTTAAGGAAGTATTCATCGCAGATGTCTGACAGAATTGGGTAGAACGACTGCTGAAAAAAACGATCGTGACCAATGGCTTTGCCCCCTAGTTTCTGAGCAATTGCTCTGAGTCTGATGTCCAATGAATTGAAATCGAGAGTTATCATTCTCTATAATTTTATATTACATTCAAAATCATTCGTTCTTTCAAACGAGAGCAGATCAGCACACTAAATAACGTCCAGTATGTATAGAAGCCAATAGTTTAACAGAACAAAATATGCAGTTAATAAAATCTTACATTTGCTGCACAAACAACCGATAAAGATGAAACGTTTTCGCATAAATCGATTAAAAGCAAACTTAAAAGCAACGACTATATCAAGAAGAAAGCGATGAGGGAAAAAAAGAATTATTGCGAAAAGAAACTGTTTGCAGGAAACAATGTAATGCAGGCAAATGAAGCCATAAAACTAGTTACAAAAATGCGAAATGATTTAAGAGATATTCATCCACAAATAGAACACTGTAGAAAGCACATCGAAATAATTCACGGAAAATTACAAATACCCGAATGGAAGTTAAGTGAAACTAAGTTAAATGAACCAGATGAAATGTTTGATCGAATTTAGAAAGAATTAATTTCAATTAAAAATTTAGATTTAAAAACAAGAGGATGTTCGGATAAAGAATTATTGTGATTATATTAGCGGGCTCTGCCGTTCTCTGCTGTACAAACACTATGTTTTTCATCCTCGGTTGTCTTAAAGTCATGAAACAATTTTCCGATGAGAGGCAGCTACAGTAATAGTTTCTTTGAGCAGTGAGCAGTGGCTTGAATTGATCTTGCCCAAATACACCATCATTTACGAGCTGACGATAGAATTATTCTGGATATTCAAACATTTATCTTATGTTATCATTAAAAATATCGTCAACTGAACGTAAAATGCCTAAAGCATTTGAGGGAGCAAGAGCAGATAATGGAAATGGTACTTTTCGGTGATAGTTGGCAAAGACAGAACTCGAAGCGATCATCAAAATCAAACCAAGTAATTATTGACTTTTATATGTTTTGCAGCTCATATTATTCCCGAATGAGTAGCTGAACCACTCATCCGTGAATATATGCACACGGTGTGCATCTGTATATATTCAACTACATGTGTTCGTTTTGATTTGTTTAGTGCGTTTGTCATACGTGTCGTCTGTTCTTTCTCAATGGCTCACTCTTTGGGTTTTATCCTTTTCTGTTCAATGTTGGTCGCTTTCGCCTCAACATTAGAATCATTAACAAATGGCACAACTCGTTTGATATTATTGGGTACTGGCGGTGGGTAAGTCCAACTCATACTCGGCATTCAACGGCTGAGTGACATTATCGCAGCTTTTTTGACTGATTAAAGTTTAGGCCAGTGATAAACGCAAATCGCAGTGCATCATCTCAAGTGATCATTATTAATAATACTCTCTATGTAATTGATAGCGGTGATGGTGTTGCTCGACAGATGAAACTTGCCAATTTAAAACTAGCTTCGATTCGACACATTTTTATCACTCATCATCATTCGGATCATAATGCTGACTACGGAAATTTACTTTTATTTATGTGGACAACTGGTTTAAATCATCAAGTTAACACTTACGGTCCACGACCATTACGTAAAATGACAAAAATGTTTTTGAAACTGAGTGAGTGTGACATAAAAGTAAGAATAAAGGGTGAAGGACGTTTACCATTAAAGGATATGATTAAAGCCCACGATATTCAAAGAAATAATGGTCGGAGCCGTGGCGGCATCAGTCGTCACATTATGGAAGACGAAAATGTTCGAGTGACAGCGGCTTTAGTCAATCATCCACCATTCAAAACAGCATTTGCCTATCGATTCGACAGTCGACTTGATAATCGTTCAATTGTAATTTCCGGTGATACGGCACCGAGCGACAATTTAATTTCACTTGCTCAAAATGCGGACATTCTTGTTCACGAAGTCATGCATTTACCATCCATTGAAAAATTAATTGCAATACGATCAGGTGTCTCCCGAATAAAACAACAGTTATTGGCTAGTCATACAACATGTCAACAAGTTGGACGTATAGCAACACTGGCCAACGTTAAAACATTGGTTTTGTCGCATTTAATACCAGCTGAATATCCGTTTCTTACAGATGAACAATGGCTCGAAGCAGTACGACCTTATTTTGCTGGAAAAATTATTGTTGGCCACGACCTTCTTGAAATATAATTGAATTACCTTTCGGTAACCTTGGTATAACTGGCTCAAAGGACTATTCTTTTTTGTACTCTACTATCCATTCCAAAATACAAGACCCGTGGCTATTTTTTGAATAACTTTTGATAGGAATGAGACAGAGACCTGAGATTTTCGCTGTTCAATAGCCAAGACTTGAGCAGAACTTTTCACAAGCGGAAGCAAAAATTAAAATCCTTATATCTCGATCAAATCTCATGCTGACTCAAGGAAATTTTCAGAAAACGCTCACGACAGGTCATAAAACAGGACACGTGAGATAGACACGTGCTCGGGGAAAACGAGCCCTGCCCGAACGACGATAGCTAGAGAGCCAGGAGTTGCATAATTTTGTAGAGTAATGTCCGAACTATCTACGTATGCAAAAAAATTACTAACATTGTATGTTAGTTTTCTGAGAACGGAGCTGATTTTCCAAAGATCCTCTGAAAACTCGATCTTTGGAATTTTTTCAAAAGTTGCTTCCGCTTGTGAAAAGTTCTGCTCAAGTCTTGGCTATTGAACAGCGAAAATCGCAGGTCTCTATCTTATTCCTATCAAAAGTTATTCAAAAAATGCCCACGGGTCTTGTATTTTGGGATGGATAGTAGTACTGTAACCGCTAATAAAATCCACTTTATGAAACAAGAAATGTTTTTGATCGACAAAGGAGCTTGAAAACAATGTCTGAAAATAAGAGAAATTCAGTGTTTTTTAGATTTATTCTGTTGATTTCTCTTAGAATTGCTCTCCGGCGCACACATTGTTATTTCCTGTACAAATATTAACTGTCAGCCACTTCTTCGACTGTTCTTCGTCAGATACAAGTAAAAAATGTTCTTCTCTGCCGTAGAATAGAATAAAATTTCTTTACCTCGTATCCGTAGTGATAAAGTGTTCAAACTTCCTACCATTAAAAGGTGGTATGAAACTTGGTTTTTTCAACAGATTTTACAGTGATACTGAGTTATTGAGACGCTTTGATAAAATTTAACTGAATTTTTAAGTTATAGCATCAAGAAGTATATTTGTCTTCCTCATTTAAGCTGGAAAAAGAGAATTTTTTAATCGTAAAATGGAATATGTTTTCAAACATATTAGAAGAAATACTATCATAGTCATTCTTGCCGTGCGCCCAGCAGAAAAAAAATACTCCTTTTGACCAAAAACAGATTAGATATTTTCGAATCATTTTCCTCCCATAGACGCGTTTAATCTAGTAGCAATTTTCATTTTGCTATAATAAAGTGAGTAGAGAAACGGAGATGATATGTTAAAAGGTGCATTTCTCATTAGTCTTTGTCTCTGTTACTGTTGCAAAAATAACCTTTTCTTTTATCACAACTTTGCGAAGTAAAAAGGGTTTATTAAATTATCGATCGAACTGGTCATTCAAAAAGTTCACTCTATTAACGAAAAGGACACCGGCAGTTAAGGAAAGTTTTGAATTAAGGACTTTGACATATATGTTTGTGCAGTTCGAACGACTCACAATCGAAAAAAAACTAACCACGAAAATGTTCAACATTATGCCCACGACGTGGGAAATCTGATGTATGAATACAATCCTAATCGATACTTGTAAAATTATGATAAGTTGATTTAAATGGTAATTCGGTAATTAATTATTGGGGAACAAATTGACTGTCGTAATAAAGGTCTTGTAGCTTTTTCCGAAAGTCGTACAGGATCAGCAAATAAAATGCCATACAATGCTGTTCCATCACTAATACGTGAAATCAATTCATCATCTGAATATTCTCTTACTTTTAAATCTGTTACTGAACCATCCTCGTTAGGGTTGTCATCGTTTATCCGTTGAATTTTTTCACAATTCGAATCAGTTCCCGTACCGTTGTCCATTCACCTTCAAAAACTTTTATTTTCAATGATTGTTTCAAACCGTTTTTCAAATACACCAATCGCTCAGGTTCAGCCAATTGGGATTGTATTCACACATGAAATTTTCCATATTGTCGACGTAATGTTGAACATTTTCGTGGATAACTGGTTTTCGACTGGTAAGTCGTTCGAGCTTTTGAGTTACTGCCCTTATTGGACTAAATGGTTCTCTGAATACTGATTCGAAGTCGGTCCAAAATACATATCTATGACTTCTGTTTTTATACCAGTTTTTGGCTTCGTCTATGTTATGTGATAAGTCATGACGTTCTTTTTCTTCCTTTTGTGGTCATCTATTTCTCATGAAAGAATGGTGAGCTAATTAGAGCTGAGTCAACATTCGTTTTTTTCCTTTTGAGTGATTATAAAATGTTCGTTTTGTAGCATGTTTTTCTTAAATGTTTTTTGGCATTTGTTTTCAGTATCGAGATTCTCTTTGTGTCCTTTGATTCTGGGAATCAAATGAGTAGCGGCCAGCAGTTGGTGCACTAGCCGATTCTTTCGTATATGACATTAAGAAGTGGAAATCTTCAACAGATTTTTCACAAAATGTCTGACGATCTTTAGGTGTATATATTCCCAAGCAAAAATGCTCTACGGAGAGAACCTAGCTCCATCGACTACATAACCTCGCGGTTATTCACTTGATGGATCTAGGTAAATGTACCTTTTTACCTAGTTAGCTAGCTCCAACCTAGTCGTGAACCGAGCAGTAGGTAACCATAATCGAGTAGGAGCGGAGGTTGATATCTGGATTAACCGCCAGTTACCCGACCGGTTAAGCTAGATCCGAAGACGAAAAATATTTGATTAGAGAGAGATGATCAACTAGCTTAACCTACAGGTTAACCGGGCACTCGAACCACAGAGTTTCCAAAAGCAGGTGTACCAAGCAAAAGCAAAATGTACTGTACATCTGCTACTTTTGATTTACGCTTTGCCCACATAAGCAAAGTGTATAAGTACATTTTGTTTTAGATTTCTATTGGAAACCCTGGTTGGAGCGCCAGTTGGAACGGTTGAAGTGTCCGGTTAACCGGGTGCTCTAACCTGGCTTAAAAAATACGAAAAAAAATATGTGCCTAACAAGAATCGAGCTCGCTCGCTGACCAGCACACTCAGAATTGAGACTAGAAGTACGCGGCGTTTTAACCAACTAACAGCCAATCTCTATCCCGTCCCGTAGGCATAATTACAATCTCATTAAATCCCGAAATTTTTTTTCGCTAAAATACAAACAGCTGTCGCTCGAGTGCGACAAGCTCAAAGAAAGAATCTGATTGACTGTCGTGTGAGGACGACAGTTTCTTGTGTGTTTAACTGTTTACTTTATCGGTGAAAGAAGTTATCTGCTAATAACCGCTACCAATAGCAGATAACTTCAGCATTCGTTGAAAGCTAGCTGGCCGCCAAAAGTAAGATATGTAAAAAGCTCAATATGGCCTCTCTAACCAATAGATGAGTGTATGGAAGTCCATGTTTTCTCTTTTTTACGTTACACTAGTAGAAAAAAATATGATAGAAAAAATATAATAGAACCATTTATACAGCATGTGTCTCATCCAATAAATTGGAAAAGGAAAATCCCGATCCCGAACCCGTTCGTAAGCTTGACCCCGATCCCGTAAATATTTGTCCTCCTATCCCGATTCCGGAGGGCTCTACCACAAAGTCAAGCAGCCTGTTATCGAGTATAGTGTCTGTCTGTGTTATTACCTTTTTCTGCGAAAATCACGACTCATCCTTTCACATATTGCGCGAAATGTAGCGACACATTTTTGAAGGATATGAAATAAAACTTTCGCTTTCATTCTTTGATGAATATAAAAGTAGTGTAAGAAAGAGAATAGCATTACTCCTTTTGTCTCGTCCGTAACCAAACGTTACCCATGTATAGAAAGCAAAGACGTCTACAGCTTACGATTCTCGTTAGGCACATATTCTTTTTTCTTTATTTTTAAGCTAGGTTAGAGTACCCGGTTAACCGGACACTCCAACCGTCCAGTTTACCTGTAGATCAACCTAGTTGACCACCTCCCTGTATCTAATGTATTTCATATCTGGAAGTAGCTGAACCGGTCGGTTAATTGCCCGGTTGAAGCTAGGTCGGCTAGAGCTAGTTCAATCGGTTGGTTAAGTGGGCGGTTAACCTAGACGATAACCTCTCCAACCGCCCTAGAGTAGGTTGAACCACCCGATCCTAGGTTAGATTTTTTGAGATGGAGCTAGCTTAAATGGGTCGAATACTGTGTTACCTAGCTCCAACCGCCCGATTCTAGCTCCATTTTTTTTTGCTTGGGTCTGTATGAGAAATAATTACAATATTCCTAAACTGGACAGCAGGCAAAACTGAGTACTTTTGAAATATGAAGCAATTTGATTGAGAAATGATGATGCCAGAAGGTTTTTATTTTAGCACGGTCACAGCGGAAAGATCCTTGGAGATTACCTGTCGCGCCCAAACCAAGCTAGATGGAGATATGGGACGTGGAATTGCTATCAATAGTTATTCAAAAAAATATCCATGACCACTGGTTTTTGGCGATAGTAGGTCGTTTAAACAGAAATGGACCGCGGCATTAAAATTACTCTCCACATCGGCAACATACCAATCGTCGTCCCATGCTAAGCTCAAGATTAGGGATGTTCGGTTCTCGGTTCCCGCGAAGAACCGGAACCGCGGTACTCTTATTTTCGGTTCTTCATCAGGAATCGAAACTGCTGTTTCTTTTTTTCGGAACCGAGACTGTTTGACTTGCTTTTCTTTTAACAAATGAAAACACAATATTGACGAAGCTGGAAAAAGATATATTTGTCTGTCATCATTTAAAAGAATCCTTTCGTTTACTATAAAACGAATCCTATTTCGTTGAATTGTTGCTGCCTGAAAAATTATTTTCTGGTTCTAAGCTGAAAACCGAGAACCGCGATTAGGTTCTTAGTTCGGAACCGGAACCGCGGTTCTTTTCGTTACGATACTAACTCGTGAACCGGAACTGAGAACCGAACATCTCTACTCAAGGTGCTTGCAAAGTATTTTGTCATATACAGATGTATTTAAACAACCTCCAGCAAAAAGATCATGAAACGAT